AATTGCACAAATTGTCAAACAAATACTTGTTTCCATTTTCTTACCTCAAAATATATTAAAAAAAACCCTTTCCATCCTACAAATTTTTCCTCTATTCTTTCTTATTCCTTTTTTACTAAATATTACATTGAGTGATATTTTTATAGTTATTCTTGTTAAACACCAGCAGCACGTGTGGCAGTATTGCCAATTTTACGTTTAATCTTCTTGCACACACACATATGTCTATTATCTAATTATCTGTGCGTTTGCTGGAGACCTTAGCAGCCAGTATGTACATTTTATTGTGAATGTTCATGACAGGTCTTGGTAGGTATTGTGTAGTATTTTCTTACATATTGAAGCACATTCTCCTCTCACTTGGGCATGCCAAATTGTCACTGGGGACAATATGAGCTGCTTCTATTCATCCTAAAATAATATTTTGGTACAGACCACAGCACATTTTTACAGAATTTGGATTTTAGCCTACTGTCAAAAGCCAGCATGTGAACACATAATTGACAACTGTTTTATAATACTGATATATTAGGAACAAATTCAGATTCCACATGTGACTTTATTTGGGGCCTTCTGAATTCTTGACTATACAATATTGAAGTGGGATCCAATTAATCTAGTGTTAACCATTTCAAGCTGTAGAAAGAATAAACTAGTGCAACTAGGCTCCCACTCAAACTAGAAAAATAAAGGTACTTCTAGAGGATGTCATTCTATAATACCTACTTAGGAAAAGTAAGATGAATTACTCTACAGGAGTACCTTGCTCTCCACACATGCTAGAATACTTGTCCAGCTTTTACATGGCTGCATTTCCCCAGATAAACCCAGCCCTGATATCCTTTTAAACCAGGGGGAGTGTATAAATAATTATTTCAAGTGTAACAAACCAGTGAAACATGAAGAGGTGTTTATTAGATTTGGATGCAGTTTACTGCACTAGACTGGTGAAGAACCATCCCTCGTAGACTGGATAGAAGTATTTGTAAATCTGCAGAAGCTACTTCACACTGACTGGAGTATTCTGTATTTCTGAAAATGTAGCTCTTGGAGGGAAGGAGGCACTCACCTACCAGCTTGACTTGGTATCTCTGGAAGAACGCATGGAGCTTTGCCTTTGAAGGGCTGACGAGCCAGTTGAGAGTTTATGGGTAAGGATCAGAGGACAAACCAGTGCAGGTGATGCCATAGTAGGTACCTACCAGAGACTGCTTGATCAGGAAGGTGAAGTCCACAAAGTCTTCTTTAGGCAACTGGAGGAGGAAGCCTCACGGTTGCTGGCCCCTGCACTCAGGGGAACCATCTGCTAGCAGGGGAATATGCCTTGGTACAAGCAACCCAGGAGGTTTCTGGAGTGTGTTGACAATACTGAGTTGGTGCAGGTGATCAACAAGTCAGCTAGAGAAGATGTTCTGCTGGTTCTGTTCCTCATAAACAAGGAGGAACTGGTTGGAAATGCAAAGATCAAGGCTCTCATCTGAAATGACTATGAGACTGTGGACTTTTTTAAAGTCCTAAAATAAGTGAGCAATTGCTCAGGTATCTGCTCAGCAGGATCATATGTGAGACTACCATGAAGAGCAAAGGGGCCCCAAAGAGCTGGCTAATTTGCTAGGACGACCTCCTCAGAGTGCAAGAACTATCCATACTGACGTACAGGAAGTCGAGCAAGTGTGGCAGCAAGCTAGTATGGATAACAGTCAACTAGTCTCAAACACAAAACTGGGATAACTGGGTACTGGTCTCAAACACAAAAAGGAAATACACAGAAGGTGGAAATGGCAACAGGCTGCCCAGGAGGAAAAGAGAGACACTGCCCAAGCATGCAGGGATGGATGCAGGAAAGCCAGTGCTCAGCTGAAGTTGAAACTGTTGAGGGATGTGAATGGTGAGAAGAAAGGCTTCCGTAAGTAGATAGGCAGCAAAAGTAAGTCTCAGAAAAATGTGGACCCATTGCTCAATGAGGCGAGGGTTCTAGTGGTAAAGGACACGGGAAGGCTGATGTACTCTGTATTTACAGGCAAGGTTTGTTCTCGGGCATCTCATGTCCTTGAGCCCAGCAGGAAGGTCTTGGGGCAGGGGAGAATAATCCATGGTACAGGAAGCTAGAGTGCTTCAACAAGTTGGACATCCACAAGTCCATGGATCCATATGGACCTGGCTGATATCACTGAGCAGCCACCTTCTATCATCTCCAAAAAGTTATGGTGTTTGGGGGAGATTCCTGACAGCTGCAGAGAAACAAATGTCACACCCATCTTCAAAAAGGACAAGAAGGAGAGTATGGGGGAAGGAGGGTACTACAGAATCATCAGCCTCACCTTACACTCTTGGATTATTATGGGTCAAATCCTCCTGGAAAGTCTTTCCAAGCACATGAAGAACTCCAGTCACTGGGAACAGCCGGCTTGGCTTTGCCAAGGGCAAATCATGTTCGACCATGCTTGATTACCTTCTATGATGAGATGATTGGCTTAGTAGGAGTTGAAAGAGTAATTACCACTAAGCACCTTACAAGGCCATTGGCATGGTCTCCCATAACATCTTTATAGCCAAAGTGATGATACATGGACAGGAAAAGGTGACTATTGGGAGGAAAATTGGCTCAAAGGATTGTGATCAGCAGCATAAAGCTGAGGTGGTGGCTGCTTAACTATGTCACCCCTCAAGGAACAAGACAGGGGGCAATTCTGTTAATGACCTCAATGATGGGATGAACTGCACCTTCTGCAGCTCTGCAAATGATAGCAACTTGTAGGAAGCACAGTCAATAATCTGGAGGGCAGAGCTGTTCCAGAGGGACCTTGAGCTAGTCAAGAGGGACCTTGACTAGTTGGACAAATGGGCTGACAGGGAACTCAGGACATTCAGTAAAGTCATCTGGGATGAAGTAACCCCATGCAGCAGTATGGGTTGCATGGGGGCCAACTGGGGAGAAAGCACATTTACAGAAAGTACCTGGGGCTCCTGCTAGAAAACAAATTGAACATGAGTCGCAGCGTGCCCTCACAGCCGAGAAGGCCAACTGCATCCTGGGCTATATTAGCAGGTGTGCAGTCAGCAGGCTGAGGGAAATGATTCTTCTTCTCTTTTGAGAGAGTACTGCATCCAGTCCCGTGGTCCCTACTACTAGAAAGACATTGGCATGCTGGGGCAGTTCCAGCAGAGGAGCCCCAAAACAGTAAGTGGTCCAGAGCTCATGACACAGGAGAAGAGGCTGAGAGAATTGTGTTTGCTCAGCTTGGAAGAGAGAAGCCTAAGGGGAGATCTTAATGCTGGCTTCAACTACATATTGAGGAGTGGAAAAGATGGACCCAACTCTTCTCAGAGGTGCACAGTGGTAGCTCAAGAGGCAAAGGGCACAAGCTGTGACACGGGAAGTTCCAGTCAGATATAAGGAAAAAGATTCTTACTGTGAGGGTGGTCAAACTCTGGAACAGGTTTCCCAGAGAGATTGTGGAATCTCCATCGCTGGAGATATTCAACATTCACCTGCACATGGCCTTGAACAACCTGATCTCAGTGGACCTGCTTTGAGCAGGGGAGTGGACTATGTAGTCCCCAGATGTCCATTTCAACCTATATTATTCTATAGTTCTATGATTCTGTACTTAGTTTCCATGTTGAACATTAGATGCACAGAAAAAAGTAAGTGTAAAATAGTTGTTATATCCTGCTCTGCATCACAGACCTATTCAATGAAATGGATCTACCTTCTAACGAAAAAATAGCTTCTGTTATTTTCCCAGATTGTTGGGATTTTTAAACTTAATGTTTGTTATAGTGAAATTAGGCTATCTTTGTACTTCAGAATTATATTTATGAACTAAAATTCAGATTCTTGATCTTGATTTTCTGAAGTACTCTGTAAATTGCAAAATGAAGATTACTGAAAAAAAGCATTGTTTATTTATTTATTATTATTTAATATGCTCCTCAGATTGTATTCTCAGACTGAATTACATCAATAACCAGATTAAAACCTTTTAAACCATCACAGACATCAAGGTAACAGGTATCTGCCATTCTTAATGCAGATAAACTGAGTGGGATGAGAGACTTCATCGCTACGTTCCTCAGATTTTTGCTGGTGGCAGAACTATAAATACAAGTTTGGAATTCAGATTCTGTTCCAAGCACGCTATTCACCTCTGAATTGACACATTTCTTTTATTTGAAGTTCTCTAAATAAGAAATTCAGCCTGTGGCAGGCACTTGAAATGGAAATTTTTTAGACTAAATAAAAAGAAGTTAACAAATTTATAAGCATCAGAAAATGGATTTCTGAAATGAGAAGTTTTACATAAAAAATAATTAACAATGCTACCACATATACTTGTAATACCACGCCTTCCTCAGTTTTGCTCAAGGTATTCCTCACTGCTCAGAGGGTAAAGAATATTTTAGGGTTTCAAGCTTACTCCACCTAAACCACTGAAGTCAATGGTAAGAGCCATTCAGCAAGAACAAAAGATGTCTACCGCAACACTTCTTGGAAAAGAGCTGATAAGAGTCCAATATTTATAAGACTCAGTGAAATTTTTGGAGATTAACTTGCATAACAGACAAGGACAAAACAGAGAAGGACTAGAAGGAAAGGTAAAGGCCTAAAGAATTATCAGCAATGTTTAGTAAAAGTTTTTTCTCAAGTGAACCTGATAAAGGGTTCCTTCTGTTTCGAAGTGCAGTATACTATACAGTGCTATTTACAAGACTCTGAACAAGTTGTTCTAGAGACTCAGGAAATTTTCAGCTTATCAGGAAGTTTTATTAACCAGCTAGTAAATGGCATAGTACTTCAGACTTTAACACACATGATTTTGTAGCATACTACCATATCCATAGCCACGAACAATAAATAAACATATTAAAGCCCAAATGTTAATATCTTAGTGATCATAATATGTAGAGCCCAATCCAAATTTTAGTGGAAGTAATTTCGTTGACTGTCACAGGCACGGATTAGATAATTCTTGCATCACAGCAATGCTCAGAAGAATTCATGACTCATTTGGCCAAATATTATTCTTTCTGATGTTTCTAAATAGCTGACCAGTTAGTGTGATCAAAAATATCTGAGAAAGAAAAAAGAGTGAGTTAAAAACAACAAAGAAAGTGTTAATACTCAGTCATGACTCAGTCAATCTAATTGCTAACCTGGCTCCTATGAATGACACTGCAGAAGGATATGAAGGAGAGTGATCAGAACATGTGCCTGAAGGCACAAGCCGAATTCTCTGCTCTGGCACAGGCTTGCTGTGTGACCTCCAGCAAGTCACTTGGGCCCACATCCACAGAAGTATCTTGAAATCTAGTGGCACATAATTCAGTAAAGTGTTAAGTGTTTCAGTGCCCTATTAATCCAAATATGGTTGGACTCAATGATCTTAAATGTCTTTTCCTACCTAAATGGTTCTATGATTCTTGGTCTTAACCTCCTGAATGGAGGTAACAGCTCTTTCCTATCTGACAATGAGGGGTCAATGATAGCACACTGAGGATCGAGAGACACTCATGTACTGCACTACTGAGGATTAGGTGAGTATGAGTAAGAAACATTTCCATTACTGAACTGGCCCACTCCATAGCCAGAATGTTTTTACTACATACCTCTATGGGAAGGTACTGCCTATGGAAGAGGTAAAATAGGTCATACTTTTAATGCTCTGAGTAAAAATGAACTAATCTCATTTTCAACCTCACAATTTCAGATAGTATCAAAAAGCCTTCTGCCTGCTTGATGGTACTCAATGTTCAGGGTGTCTGTGGAGCGAACAATCAATTCTTGTGCCATTATTCATGAGATTTTGGTTTGATATTGAAAGCTTTATTCCTTTTTATCCAATAAAATTTTCTTACAGATATGTGGGTGGAGGGGTTTCATGATTTCATATTGTTTGATTTAGCTTGTTCATTGACTAGATTCTGTACAAATAGAGGACAAAAGAGGTCTTTTGCCCCACAGATTTTACACTTTCTTTAACTGCTTCCTGTCTTTGCAATGCTGTTTGCTTTCACAAGACAAGTCAAACATTTCATTCAATAAACTTTGGACACCAACATCCGGGATGGTGCTCGAATATATGGGAGTGTGTTGGTAAACAGTACTCGATGTTACTTCTAATTAAAATTGATGGAAAGCTTTACAAAATTTCAGAGAGCATGCCAAAACCAAATAGCACTGAATTGATTTTTACCCCCACCAGAATATCAATATTCTGTGTTTTTTTTCTTAAACATACTCTTACCCGTGTAATTAGCAGGCTGACAGTAATTGCAGTTAAGATCAAAACATTGTTTTCAAACCAAGTATTTAAATATTCTTCACATCCCTAAGCAAGTACAGATGAACAGATTTCAAGAACAATCATTTCAACTTTTGAATTCAGATTGCATCTTTATAAGAACATACTTTTAAAATATATTGAATAGAACTTTCTGCATGTTATGATGGGTTCTCATATTTACTTGCCAGAAAGAAAATACATCAGTAATGTGTAATGAGAAGAGTTCGCGATAACATTTTAAAAATTATCTGAACTAAACAGATTGTTCTTACGTAAATCTAACATTTTTGTATGGAAATGTTCCAGAGCTTGTGACTTAATCAAAAGGGAATTTGCTTTTGTGTGAATTTAACTGAGAGATCACCTTACAAGTAAATGTTTAAAAGAATATTTTCAAGTTTTCTTTGATTCTCATGCATTATGCATCCCAAAAGGGATGTGCATATTTTCCAGATTACTGTCTATTATATTGCTTTTTTAAAATAAATTAGAAACTATTACATAGATTAAAAATAGCTATAAATATACTAAAACATATAAATAAATGCTTTCTATATTTTGAAGTGATCTTTTAATAATGACAAGGGTTTGTAGAAACAGGGAACAATTCCAAACTGATGAGCGAAGGAAGACAACATCAGATGTCATTTGACAACATTCTTTCTATTATTTACTGTCCTGCATTCTCAAGAAAGAAGCTTTGCCCATTGAATTATTTGTTCTCATTGGATAGTCCTATTAACACTGGAGGGTTTGTAAAAGAGAATAGTACGTATCACTTTGCTCCAGCTCACTTGATGATATCTGATGGTCCTATGCAAACTGGTCCCTTGATATTAAGACTTGTAAATGCTAACATGAACTAGTCTCGGGAAATACATCTCACATTTCAATGCCTTGCTCATTCCTCTTATCCTGTAAATTATCGGAGATGCTTTGGAAACAGATAATACAAACAGGTAGAGACATTGCCGACATTCCGTAAGCAGTGAATAGTAATTACAAGTGGAAAATGTACTGTCTACTTTCTATATACTGATGTTTTCCATTGTCATCATTGATTTGCACAGCATGGATTTCTGAATGCCAAGATGTTTACTACTTCTTAAACCACTCCTAAATGTCCCTGTGATATTGATCAGGCACAACTCCTGTTTTCTTGAAGTATCCTTAATTTAGAACTGCCTACATGACTGACAGCTAACAAGTAAAAAACAAGGCTTCAGAGTGACCAAAGACAAAACAATGAATATTATTAATAATTTGGCATTTGTAAGCCAAGTCTTGGTGGAAAACATGTTTTGTATATTTTTTTCCTAAGTCCATTTAGTAGCAAAAGTTACATTCTTCCAGACAAGCTCTTTACTTCTTACCATATTGTATGTTGAATCCCTTGAGACATCACAAAACCATTTCTTCAGACCAGATTTTGTGCATGAACATGGGATCCAAGTACTATTTTCCTTGTTTTTATTCCTTTCCCACTGTGTGACATTGTATCTTCCACAGCATTCCATCTAGAATAGAAATCCTGTAACTTGGTAACTCCAACACCTATAACAACTGTCATACAGAGGAATTTTCACCCCAAAGAGTGCTAGCTATCAGTTAGTTGATTAAATTAGCTGGATAGTTTCACTCTGTATTCAGCAGAAAGAGGTTTCTGCAAGGGAGGATTCATCCTTGTGTATGTATCATTTCCCATGATATGCCCTGAATAGTACAGAGTTAAGAACAGTGAGATCTTGAAATATACTTTTGAAAGGAACTGTCTTTGAAACTCTAAACTATTCTGGAACACATGTAAACAGAAAAAAAAAGAAAAAATTACAAACCCAGGTTAAAGTAAAATATTTTGACTATCACCTTTAACCTTCCAAAGTAATTTCAGTGTAGAAACTGTGTGTAAGCAGTAAGCTATATTAAGCATGTTCTCACTGTGAAGTACAACAAAAAGAAGAAAGAAAACTATTTATTATCGGAAACAACATAATGAATGTTATTTCATAATGAATGCAGTAACAGGGACAGATTTTATAAAGCGTATTTTAATAAATAAAAATTAAAACAGACACTCTGCTTTGATCTAAAAACATAAATAAGAACCAGGTTTTGAAAACTTTCAGTTATTCCTTTGTCACTTCTAATGTCATATTTGCAAAAATTCTCTGCTCTTCGCAAGAAATCTTTAGAAAGTCTCCCTATTCCAACTTGTGTTTTAGCAGTAATTGATCTCTTGTGAACACATAGCTCAAACTTGAAGCACAAAGCAAATACTGTGCCCTGTTCAAACGGATTATCAGCTAGCTCTTCCCAGAAATCTGTTTCAATATTGGTAACACAAAACCAAACCATCAATCAGCTGGAGAATGGAATTCTTGTCATGTAGGAAATTCCAGCAGTTTTTCACTCTGAATCAGGATGAAACTTCAGAAATGTTTGAATTGTTTTGTGGGATGAAAAGTCTGCCATATTTTAGCTCAGAGGTGTCAAACAAAAACATCTCATTTTTGTGTTCTGAAGAGTCATTCCAAGATACACTGCTTCTAAATTTTGAAAAATTAGATAACTTAGCCAAAACTGTCCTTTCTCTGTAAAAGCATTAAATTTCAACAACTCTGTAAGTTCAGTTAAAAAATCACCGGCTTTAAGCAGTACATTAAATATTACCAAGAATATATAAAAATATAGTTCTTCTCTAATACTGTTCATGATCTCAGGCTTTTTATTTTTCTCATGGCAGATGCTGATAATATTGTAAAGAGCTGGAAGCATGTAACACAAGACTTGGGGACGGCACTGTTTCAGTCAAAAGTGTGATTACAGTTCACCTTTTATCTGGCTTAGATACCAACAGAAAAATATCCACAGGACTTTCAGATCTGCCACAATTCAAACATGCCCACCGGAGTAGGTTGTGGGTAGGTAGCTTTGCTGAAATCTGTGCTCCCACAACAGTTCAATAAAACTGAGCTCATGTATACCAGCACATAGTCTAGCCACACCATTGACATAATGGGGTCACCATTAATCACTAGAGAAATCATGAATGCAATGAGAGGAGACTGGATTTTCAAAGAACAGATTTTAAATATACATTACAAATGCATTTGTAATCTTGAGTCTAGACATGTATGCTCTGTGAGTTATCTGGAATCATACATTATCTTCAACGTTCGTGGAGAACTATGTAACTCACCTCTGCAAGTCATATTAAGGGACTCACAGCTGATCTATAGAAGCACATTAAACCATATTAAACTGTTAAGCTCTAGTGTTTGTAATTAAAAGCTCATGATGCAGAATTAATTTGAAGGGTGGATAGCAGGCCACTGGGCAAAAACATTGTTAACAACTTCCAAAATAATAGCTCCCATAAAAATGCTTTAAAGGACTTTTCTGAAAAAGGAAACAAATTACATGCTGCCAGGCCACAAAAATTATTATGATTAATAATTAAGTACACGTGCTGAAAGTATTGATTTCCAAGGTCATTTGAGGCTTTAAGCACTATTTCTGAAACAGACTCAGTGCAACACCTATTCAAATGCTCTGCTTTGACCTCATAGCATCTCTGCTTGTCCATGGTTCAGGTCAGTCCTGAGACCTTAGCAGATCACGTATTTTATATCTAGCACTGTTGAAGATATTACAAAAGCCATCGTTTTTTTCAGCTGCAGTAAACTTCAGTGACCAGAACTGTCTGCTCCAACATACATCGACAAGTCCTTCAAAAGCCTAATCTCATCCATAATAATCCATATAACAGCAAGGAATCTGCCCACCAGCATCAGGTATTAGTAGCGGATCTTGACAAATTATTCATTTACTAAACGAGTTTGTTTTTAAAAGTAAGTTTTGATTGGCATACACATTTTTGGTTGATGCAGTATTTTTTGTGGTGATATTTCGTGGGGTTTTTTCCTTACATTGTGCTGCACAGAATTCAGAATGTTCCACACGGGTTCCTGCTCAGCCAGACTCTCATTCCCATATTCAGAAATAACTTCATCAATTCTGTTGTTCCATTGATTGTGGACCTGTTCATAAATATTTATAGTATTTGATATATGCATACTGGTAAGACTGTGGATGGATAGTACAATCCTTGATCTTTTATTGATACTGAGGTTTCTTCAAGAGTTACTTACAAGCACCAGCATTCTAATCAATTTGCCAAATATGATCTAAGACATGTCATAGCCATTGCACTAATGGGAAAGTTGAAAGCAAAAGGGGAAGATAAATGAAGTAACCCAAATCACATACATAGCACAGGGAGACACAAGGTGATTAGCCCAAATGGAGTCAGAAGAGCCAGGGAACATAGTCTGGATGTACCCGATCTGTCCTGAAAGATGAAATCCTGCCTCTCATACTTATTTTTAATAAGCATAGCAACATATAATAATAAGCTCAAAACCAAAATTGATTCTAGACCTAATGTGATACAAACTTGCATGAACACCATACAGCCTGGCCAGGACATGGATTGCTTTGGGCTAGAGGAGTTAGCAGCTCATGTTGGCCCTAGATTAGGCATCTTTGCAGAGACCATTAAAATACACATTCAACAGTAATTGAAGTGGACAAGTTGACCACAGAGTGTGATTATAGAGAGTGTAGCAGGGAATACATGCAGAGGAGAACTCCTAGATCACTGAAAGGTTTCATTACAAAGCAAGAAAACAATGAGGCTTCTCCAAGTCATTCCCCTAAAAACAAAATTCAAAAGCTTGCGCAGTGAATGATGATGTTACCAACACTTAATTAAGGTTGAGATCAAGTGCAATTACAGTTGATATAAAACAAATTTAACTGCAATCTTTGAACCAATTTTCCTAGCACAAATAGTTGATTCCAGAATGCATCATTCCTGACAGTTCAAATCTTTCAATATGTAAAACCGTCACATAAAACAGGGAGGACTCCATCATTATAAATTAACATTTAATGGAAAAATCTTAATGATATAGGTTCACTCTGATAGAATAAAACTAATTTATTTGTGCTGTACCCTGCCTGAATAGCAGCAGGACTTGGAGAACTGTACAAACCTTATGAGACCAGTGTCATGGGAGGTTTTGTCAGACAATAGATTTTGGAATTATGGAATAGGGAAGTGGCCAGACCAGTACGGATTCAGTACAGATTACCTCCCATACTATAGTGTGAGGGGTGCTCAAGCTATTGGAGTTGCTATACATAGAAAAATAAATGACTGAATAAAGCTTCAAAGCAGTATAGTTACTAGTGACAACAGCTATGTTGATATTTATTGTTGCTTCCTGTGTTAAAAGCAGATACATATTCCTTATATTAGATCTCTACTTGGACCTAAAATACAGGCTCAAACAATAAAACTAGTAATTCATTAGTATACTTTGCATGCCGTGATGCCAGTGACTCCTACTATCAGTTGCAGAGTGGACTACTGTTGTCACAGGCTAGCAGATGCAGGCTAGCGTCTAATGCTTTCTCCTACCTCTGCTGATGCCCAGGAAAGAGGGACTTTCTGGGTCATCCCTCAAAAAGGAATAAAACTGTCCCTTATACTGTTGATTCCACATTCCTGAACAGGAAGAGTATGTTTTGCTGCAGAGGAGAAACTGGAAATATATTTCCATGCACTCCTCTTTACAACTATTGAATTATGCTGAATTTCTCAAATTAAGTTTTCCACATCTTCTGCTATGGCTGGTTGACATGTAGAACACTCAAGTTCAAACACATGGTGATACAGCATACAGTGAGGACTATTAGAATTTTTTTTAATTAATTGCAAGAAATTATTTTGAAATTTTCAGCAGCCTCACATAATTTAGTTACATACCTCATCTTTCTTCACGAATATCAGCACCAATGTTACCATCTGGGTAACAAACACCAGGATTTGAAAACCGATATACTGAAAAAGACCCCCAAATTATATATGAACATAGTATTGAACAAGTGAGCAATGCAATATAACACTCCAGAAGCTGATGTATAATCCTTCATGACTATTATTTAGAGTCATTCCAACAAAAGCAAGAAATATTTTTTTCTGCAAACCCTCAGAAAGTGACATCATAGTCTAAGAGGCAGGTTTCAGGCAAAGCACAACTCACTGTTTTGGACTTAAAGACAAAGCCATAACCTTCTTGGAAGTGAAGAACAAAAGTTGCTGTTAAGCAGCTGTGCTCCACTGCAGAAAACTCTTATTTCATTATTTCCTGTTTGAATTATCATGGTACCTAAATCTCATGCCTAGTCAAGGACTCTTTTGAGCTATGAGACACACAAACAAAACAAAAAGATAGTTGATTTTGTTCATTTTCAGTGAGATCAAATTTTCACCCATAGTATCTAGATATTGTAATACTAGATATTTCCATGGAAGTTGGAAATGAGACACTTCTTTCTCTTTCATCATATAATAAATTGTGAGGCAAACACTACATGCCTAGGGCAGTAGCAGAGAGGAAGAAGGAACAAGACTCCTGGTATTAGTACCTGGGCTCCTCTCACTGCTGTACCAATTGATATTTGTAGTGCCTAACAAATGAATCAGTAGAACAGTTCTCTGCTTCAGCCTTCACATAGTCTAAAACAGATCGCTCAAAAAGGGTGAAAATGAACAAAAGAGAAACGAAAAAATGTAATCAAGGTGAGCATTAGAATGTATAGCTACAGTGTAATTTTTCAGAAATCAAAGTGCTCTTCCATTAAAAACCAGGAATTGTACATAGATATGGAGTATCCAGGTAGGTCTACACAGGTAACAGCTTTTTAATCATACTCTCCGTTTCAACATTGTAGCCATACTGTAGCTACCTGTGCCTTCAACCTGCAATATTTTGGGGCAGGCTTTTCTTTATTTCTTCAGCTCTTCCTAAGCATGTGAGCACACACTGACAGATAGTTATTCTGCATCGTTTCAATACTAAATTAATTTTAAACCCCCTAAGTTAATAAATACAGTGATTAAAATCTTTACTGCATGAAACTGCAAGTGTTTTGTCATTGAAAACATTCATGCAGTGATATGGAAGGATCTTCAGTTTTGTTCAGATTTCATTTGAGCCACAACTTTAGATAAAAATATCTTTCTATCAGCAGATTTGTTAAGCACTGTATGTGGAAATCACAACATCAAGACAGGATCACAGTTTTCATGCACACAAAACTCCCTTTCATTTTACAAGAAAGCTGGAGTCTCATTTACACTTACTGTGACTAGTAGACATCTAATTTCCATAACACTTCCAAGGAATCCCATGGCTGATGTAAAAGTAATAACAGATCCAATTCCAAGTAATATACAAGAAATATATGCCACTAGCTCATTCTTGCCTGAAGAAACTGTAACACAGTGCAGTCATACGGTCATTTCTCTTTTTTTTTTTGAGACTTCCACTTAGAAAACTTATTCCAGAAAAACAATTAAATGTTTGCGATGTCATTACTGAAAGGATGGAAATAGTAGAGTGATAAAGGTGTATTATTGTTACTTGTGCTATCTACAGTCACAGAAAGAAAAAGATATATTTTCATAAGTTCAGAGGACGGTAACAACGTATGAGATGTAAACAGAACATACTCAATTGAACAATGTGAACCATTCACAATGAAATCAGAGAACAATTACAAGTTTACACATTTTTTCTGTTTGCCAAAAATTAGCAGCACACATACAAATCCTATGTGGACAAAGATACAGTTCTCACTAAACACAGACTCGGATTCAATGTTATCCTCCCTCTTTGTGACTGAAAACTTTCCCCTTTCCACTTTAACCATTTTCGCACAGATATGGAAAGTAGCAGGGGTCTTCATTACTTCCATCTCAAATGCTTCATCCAAGAATTGCTATATTGGATGATTCCCATCCCATTAGTTGGGAACTGATGCTCCTTGGCATAACCAAGGTTGACCAAGGCTCTTTGAGAGCACACCTGTTGTTATGTGACCCAAAACTTACTTCTCTGTGAAACCATTTGATAGACACTCTGGGAAAAAGGAATATCTATATGTAGAGGCCCAAGCTCCAACTTGTTTATTCCACCCAAATAACCACCCAAAGGACCTATAATCTTGTTAAACGCAGGCCAAATGCAGTCTGGTAAACTATATAAAGAAAAGATCAATAGAGCTGAATTATATTTCAGTGATTCATCTATAAGCTGTCCACCAAGAGAAATACATTGTATAAATTATAATCATATATAAATTGTAGATATACTGATATATATTTTCCCTTATTTTGATAATCATACTGTCTAATGACAGAAAATATATGCAACATAAAAAAAATGCATTTCAATCCAATACTGCCACCTTGTGAAAAAAAATTCTATCACTGTTTCTGTTGATTTATCCTGCAATCATACGAAACAAAAGAAAAATTCTATTCATACTCACATAGCACACTGAATAAATTATTTCTGTCAAATAAAAGCCACAGACCGAATGTCAAAAGCATAAGACCCAGAGCCTGGGAAAAAAAGGAGGATTATTGTTTTAATTCAAAACATATTTTAAAAATTAATTTGAAGCTGCTAAATAAGAAAAAGAAAACAGAAATTTTACCAAGAAAATTCCATTTAAGACATTTAAGTAGTACTTCTGTACTTGTATTTTATCTCTTATTTTCATTCTTCTGTTTTCAGTTTTGAATCACAGCTGAAAAAATAATCATATATTCAGTTCAATATGAAACAGATATAAATAAGCCTTTACAAATAGCTAATCCATTACAATGGGATTTATTTTCTTCAGATAATGTTTTATAAATTTAAATCGTCACCTGATACATTGAACAAAAAAATAGTAGCAACAGTAGAAGCGTCAAGACAGTGTCTGGTCTCAATTGCCTCTAATGTTATACTGTACACATGTATTTCTTTTTTTAGCTTTTTTTTCTTAACTACTAAAGACATTTGGAGAAAGCATGTATGTAAGAAGATTTATATTGCAGCAATGGCAAGAGTTACATAGCCTGGTATAAACTTGTCCTTATATTCGTCAATACACTTAATTTACTCTGTATTGAGGATACCAGCTGAAATGAAGAGGGAGAACCACTGTAAAGATATAAGTCCTCTTTTGTCTACAAGACCTGATTCAATTTTTGTTGAAAATAGCAGATATAGCCTAGTGATTTCAGTTTGATCCACCACAGAGTTCCAGCAAAGCCATGAGAGCTGTCAAATGGTGCTTCCAACTGTCTTGTACTAAACTCTGGAGTACGCTTTACACTTTTGAAGTGAATCTCCCAGTCACTCCCACTTACTTTTTTCCTCTGTTTTCTCTTGCAGAATATAACAGGATGTGAAAAGTTGAATTCCTTTCAAATGAAACTAAATCAAAAAATGCACTTCATCTGCCATCAATAGCAAGTGGGTGCTTGGTCAATGGAAGGGCAAGCAGAGACCCTGCCCATAGCAACTGCCCCTGAAATACATGTAAATTGTATGTTAGAACCTGAGTACCAACTGTATCGCCTTTGCAAATGCATGCAAATGTTGACAAGACCACAGTGAAGTCACATCGGCGTTCACATCTTGAGCATAGTTTAGCATATTTCAGCGGGAAAGAACCCTAGCACTGTAAAGTCTCTGATGCAGGACTTCTTTTTTTATATATCATCATTATTATTATTATTATTATTGGAGACCATATCTTCTGGGCCTATCAATATTTTTCCACAGAGAGTGAAACTTATACACTTGTCCTCCACTTCATGTTCCCTTTCACCTGTCTTGCTTCTGTAAACATACTCCGGCATTTTAGTTTGCCTGGCTTTGCGGTACAAGCTGAGAGGAGTCCAAGAGCAGCAGTGTTAGAAGATGGTTTCTGCAATGGCAGCCAGCTGCAGTTGTCCTACACTTCTCATGTGTAAAGCAGGCAGGCACACAAACATACACAGACACGTGAACATAACCAGCAAAGGCATATTCTTCAGAAAGCATTTTCTAATGCAAATGGATTTGTTTGAAAGGAATTGTTCTTGTCTTCTGTCAGAATTACTACAGACTGATTACAATAAGAAGTTATGTCTTCTGTTATTTGTAAAACAGAAAAAAAAAAAGACAAAGTTGAAGCTCCTGCAGTCAAAAATATCTTGCGTTAACAACTTGTTTTACATACAAAACATATGTTACATATGTATCAAATTTGTTGATTAGAAGAAAAGATTCAGCAAACACAAGCTTTGCCTGCCCTGTCAAGATCCTCATTGCCCGGATCATAAAACTTCTGTTGCTGAATCACAGAATGAAGAAAGCTATAAGCTTCTCAAACTAGCTCTGCAGTGGATTTGGGTCAATAATGAACCATGAATCCACTTCTTTTAAGAGTAATTAAATTTTGTCAGAATTTTTGAAACCAGAATGTACTAAAACATTGCTGTGATGCATTATTCTAGTAAAAAACCCTGAATGGTTAAGTATTTCACTTGAAAACTAGCATCTGCGATAGTTCTGTTGTAATAACTATGTGGTTTCAATGTTTTATTTTGAGCCATTTTAGTAATAATAATATTTCAGCTTATCTTAAATTATTTATCTGAAAAATAGAAATATTATTTTTATAAAATGATGTACATTTTGCATTACATTTTTACTTCACAAGAAAATCCTTACCAGCTCTGAATATTTCTGTTCTACCTTAAAGAGCACAGTCTCATAACGATATGTTTCTTCCTGAAGTTCAACTTAACGACATCCTTACAACAGAGAAGTTTTCTTCTGTTGATCAGCCCTGACTTCCTGGTTACAGCTGACAGGTCTATGGAAACATCTTTTTTTTGGCAAAGTTGTTTGCTAAATGCAAACCGTCGTCTTCAGTCACCATGATCACAGCGTAACTAGCATTCCAAAACAAGTATCAAGCGCACATTCAACTCAGCGCTTGAACACTTGACCGCATTGAGAAGTTCACTGGTTACATGGTTCTGTAAAGTACAAGACGTCACAAGGTGGATTTCAAATGGATGAGTTTCCATTGTTTTAAGATTTAAATGTCTTACTTGTCCATAAGACCAATGAGAAAATGTTAAACATTTGCCCTTGAATCCAGTATTTTGCAGTTAACATCCACAAGTCTTTCAGAAAGGTACTCAGTTTCAAGAATGTAGATGGAAAAATCCCCTACTATCCTTGACAGATCCTTCCCATTGCTCACAAAGTGCTCATTTTCTATATAAAACTTGTCTTTATCTTTCAGTTTTTTCTGTTACACTTGTCTTTGTCCCTTGGTATTCCTAATCAGACTTCAGGGTGCACTCCCTATAAACACTGTTACACACTAAAATAATGTTGTCTGCACCCTCCCTGCCCCGTATCACTTTTCCTAGACTGAATTGTGTGGAGCCTTTAATTCTCCGACTGCACATTTTCTCTCTCTCTCAAATAATTTGTATGCACCTTTCTGTCATTTTTTTTTTTTTTAACTATTATTTTCTGTTCCTT